GGCTCAGCTTCGGGAAGTCTTTCAGACTAAAATAGGTTTTGTTTAGTTACTGCATATATAAGAAGATATTTAATGCCTCAGTAATGCTTAAAAAAATCTCTTGGGTTTTATAAGTGAAGAGGAACTTTAACATTGCTGGACCTTCTACCTTTAATTCATATATGATTAATTAAATCTATGCAGAAAGGCTTAATTAACTTCTGTATACATAAAGTATACTCTCTGAACTCAGGTTTGCTGCTGGTATGTATTGTAAAGTCTTGAGTACATGTTAGTTGGCTGCTTTTTATTAATTTCCGTTTCTTAGCCATAAACCATTAAAAAATTTACCTTCAGTTAGTTTTCTTATGCAGTTAATGCTTGTCTGAGTACTGTTATGGTGCAGGATATTGTTCTAAATCATTACTCCAACTAACTGGAGTAAGGCAACTGTTAAAATACTTCTGTAGAAATACTATACCTAAGCTAGTTTTAATTTCACATTTTGAACAGTTGCTTTTAATGGTTGTTTGAAATAGAAACAATTGAACTTGATGTTGCATTTAAAGTAGTACTAATGTTGTATTTAAAGCAATACTTACACAGGCGAAGAGTTTGCCTCTGCTTAATAAATATGTTAATGTCTTTTTCTCTTAGATAAAATTATACTGAAATGTAAACAAGCTATGTTTAGAGGGGCTGTCGTAAGAAAAGGGCTTCATGATGTGGATGGAGTGTTGTTAAAGCTAGCAAATACCCGTGAGGGATTTGTCCTGCTTCTGTCATTGCAGTATTTAGATGTGGTTCTGAGAGGCTTCTAGGATGATGGTTGAATCTTTCTGCTCCAAAAGATCAAGAGCAAATAATGTGCTTGATACAATTTGAAACAGTTACTTCATAGTAAAGATTTGATGTGTGGTGATTGGACCTTCTGTCAGTACTTACTGCTCTTTTGGTATGTGGTTTTCACGCTGTTTCGATTGTGAGGATGGAGATAGATTGCTTACCTCCAGAGAATCCAAACATGTCGATAATCAAATTATCTTCCATGTTGAGGGCATTTGTTTTATTCACCGTGTTAACAGAAGGTGTACTGAAGTATTCATAGCACTGTAGAGAAAACTGTTTGAAAGAATAAAGACATCAATCTCAATGCTCTGAGTGATGAATGCATTACATATAGGGGTTTTTTTTTAGTTTTAACTTAATGCTTATTTCCAATTATATTTTCCCCAATTGTTAGAAGTTCCAGCACAGTACACAGAGATTTCTTTTTTTCTGCTGCTAGATCTGGCTGAAAGGCATTATCCTGTGATTTCCATTGCAGTTGAGGGTGGTACAGATACAGAATTTTAGGTAGTTCTGTTAGTTTATGTTTGCCTACCATTCACAGTTAATTAGAAATAATCACTAAAACTGAAAAATAACATCTCAGTTACCTGAATGTCCTCTCCATCCTAATTTCTAATATTTCAGTTTAATCTTTGATCCTCTTCCTTCCCTCTTTGTGTCTTTGCTCAAGTGTTTCCTTCTCTGTTCCTTAGTGTCATTAGAACACACACACATCTTTCCAGGAAACACCAAGAGGATCAACAGAGTAAGTGGAGTAAAACTAATACAAACTGATCTAAGTAACAGTTTAAAACTCATGCTGTTATTTCTGTTAGGAAAGTCTGTCATATGAGAGATGTACCATCTACGTGATATTTTGAGTTCTGTAGCCTATATTTTTAAAGGTGAGAAGTTATTTTGGGAGAAGAGGAGAAAATGCACAATTAAACGTTATATGCTTATAGGCACTCTAAAAATGAAGCCTGCTTTGAAAGAAGTGGGGTCTTTGGAATGAAATTATCTAAAAAGTAGGTGTTTGCCAATTGCATGAAATAAAAATTTTCAGAGTTTTCAGCTTATTTACTGAAAAAAAAAGTTATGAGGTGTGTCAAATTTTCTGATGTCAGAGGGGGAGAGTTTTAGTGAAAGAGTCCTGAAAACTACTGCAAGACCCAGGCTTGCTCATGCAGCATAAGTATGATTTGAAGATCATCCCTGTCAGAGGGCACTGGAGAATCTGGGCCTTACTTAAGATACAATATTTGTTCAAAGTGCTTTGGTAAAATATCTTCTTTAGCTTATGAAAAATAATGACTTACAGTAAGCTGTGCATTCATGTTGTAATGAAGTTTTATATCTATCTATCTATATGCAGCTGGTATATATTAATCTATTTTTTATTCTTTATGCATATGATACTGCTTTATGAATATGCATATGCATATGAGACTTCTTTTTAAGAATGGCAGATTTTCAGATGAGTTCTGATAACGGAGCGGTTAAGTGGTGCTTAGAATGTGTAGGTAGTTTACGAGAAGTGGGGGCATAATTAATTCTCTTAACTGTTTTTTAACTTCATGTATCATAGTCATCATTGTAGTATGTGGTCACCCCATATGACATAAGGAACAAAAAAGTGCAAACGAAGGGTGATCTTTGTACCTCCAGTAAATTCTTGAGATCTGTCAGATTTGAACTTTGGTCTGATTTCACTAAGGACCCTGGAGGGCAAATTACAGAGGATAGCTGAGTAGATCATCTCTGATTTGCTACAGTTATTTTGTATGCAACAGATCAAAGAGGGATGTAGAAGCTCTATTCTGATTTTAAAGTAAATATAAAATAAAAATGGTTAATATGTAAAAATTTAAACAGTTGTTTTTTCATTGTTTCTGAACTCATTTCTATATAAGTAAAATAGAAATGAAGATTAAACTGCTATTCATACACTGAAAGGATGTGCATTTGTTTTTTCAATGTATATTTTGAAAGGAATCTCTGAAGGATGTGAGGTAGGCTTTGTTTGCCACCTTGTAGAAAGTCTTTTAGACATGCAGATAAGAAAATTAGTCTGCAGCTAACAGTATTTGAGTAACACAAATTATTCTATGAATGCAGTGTACTAGTAATGATGATAGACCCATAAGGTCATTTGAGATCATTACAGAAACGGTCCTAGAGGATCTAAAATTTTTAAAAGGAAATAAACATGAACTTTTAAACTTTTGTTGTAAAAATTGATTGTTTTCGATTATATATATATGCATATTAAAAAAAACCCACGTATTGTGACAGCTTTCATATTACTTACTACATGTAATTACTGGGGTTTGGGTTTTTTTTTTTTTTTCTTCTTCAAAGTCAAAACAAGCATATAGGTCAGATTTGTAGGTCAGTCAATGTAATTTATTCAGAAGCTATTTTTGAATTTGCTAAGCTAAAACAGAAAACCACAGTATAATTTCCAGTGTCATTATATTAGTCACAAACTGACTTACGGAAGGAATTAAAGCTGGTGCCCAGAAGTAGTCTTGTATCCATGATTACGTGAAGCAAGCATGCTGGGTCTGTCAAAACATCATGTTTTCTCAACCTGCTTATAGGTTAATTATCTTTGTCATCGTGGCAAAGGATGCAGCGATCCTGCAGTGCGTAGTCATTTTAATTTTCCCCTCCCCCTTCTGAACTTTAAAAAAGGTTTTGTCCTTCCTGTAGAAGCTAAATCTGGTATTATGTAGGCAATTATTATAATTGTCACATCTGCATTGACCTTACGGAAAGTATAGTCAATAGTAATGCAGGTGTTGAGGAAGGAGCATGTTGAGGAAGCTAAATTTTTGCCTGATGGCCTACCTTATAAAGGTAAGGAGTGGAAATAGATACATTTCGGGATTCATACAGAAAAAGGAGGAGGGCACTTACTCAAATAAATACATATTCTGTTCTTCCTTATATGCATTTCTTTTTGCTAATTGCTGAATTATTATTGCTTTGTGCTAAGAAGTCTGTTTGGGCAGCCTCATCATAATTTAATTTATCACTTAATAAAGGAGTAAGTTGGAGATGTGTATCAGCAGTAGCCTGTGTTTTACCGAAGACTTTCTAAGTCAGTAATATCACTGCACTTGTCAGGACAAGACATGAATTTTTACTGTGCTCTGATTCATCCGTCTTGGGATGAAGGCGATGACGGTGTCAATTTGTGGTTCTTGCACAGGACCTGCGGGAACCAAGTTGCTTGCTTTCATCGTCGTGAAAGAAGGGGCTTGTCTGAGTGCTCTTAGCAGCCTTCTGGTGCAGAAGGGTGCAGGGCAGGACTAGTAGTTTGTACTCACCCTGGAAAAGTGTAGGCAGGAAGAGGCATGTGGGACAAGTGTTAAGGAGAATGACATTCCTCCAGGGAGGGAAGGGAGGAAAAGCTGAGGTGATGGCAGAAGCGCGGGAACTTTTGATGGAGAGTGTAGGCAGGGCATGGGAAAGTGGAAGGAGTGTGCTGGGTATGAACGCTAGTGCCGGGTAGTCCAAGGTGCTGATCTTAAAAGCAGCGCACAGCACTTTGGTAAAATGCCCCAGGGAAACATCTGATAGTTTATTTCACAAGATACTTTGCCAAAAGGAAAATTGAGATGTATGTCCTCACAATATAACACAAGCCTAAAGGCTTTCTTCTTTTTGATGATGCTTTTACCAGTATGGGGGAAAATAAGGATAGTTGTGTTTCAGAACTGGGCTGTAAAATCTTGCAAATGCAGTCTGGGTTAGATCAGTACTTTAAATTCAGTAACTTCGTATTTCAGGTTCGGAAGCCTTTTGGCAGGGTTTTGCCCAGAGCTTTTGTTAAATATTTTGTTGATTTCATTCTTTCGATGTTTGTTTGTTGAGAAGTAGAACATGCTTTTAAAGCTATAAATGTATAAACCTGTATGCTTTCCAGGTATTTTTATTGGCCTGTAAAACTTCATGATCTTCCTGCCTTTCTTTATGGATTTTTTGTTTTGTTTTTAATGCTTTGGTGTTTGCCTCTGCATGTTTGGGGGCAGGCAAGGGTGAGATGGGAGGGAAGAGGAAGAGACATTATTTTAATACATAAAGGATGGCTAGTTTAATTTAGCCAGTTTCCAGGCTTGTATATGGGTATGATGAAGCCTTCTGTCTGTGAAATTAAAACATTTAATCTTTGTTTAGGAAATCTGAAAGGAGAGCCCTACTTATGAAGAGATGACGTGTAATGGCCCAGGTAACTCAGAAGCTTGTGCCACTCCAGACACTGGTGGTGACCAGGAATGGGCACAGGAACACTACCGACTCGGAACTTTTGTTGAATTTCCACTTGGCTGTCCGGTTTCAGCATCAGCACTAGCACGAGCTGGCTTTGTTTATACTGGACAAGGTGACAAAGTGAAGTGCTTCAGTTGCCATACAACTATTGAAGGATGGACGCCTGGGGATTCTGCAGTTGAGACACACAAAAAGTTTTCCCCAGATTGCAAATTTATTACTGAATCTACTTTTCTGGAAAATCACATGCATTCTCTTGCCCAGAACTACCAGCGTAGAACTGAAAATGGTTCCAGCAACTCAGCCCTCCCGTGTACTCTGGATGACCCATCTGATGTGGAGGCAGATTACCTTTTGAGAACTAGGCAGGTTGTGGATATGTCAGATAATTTTTATCCTAAAAACCCTGCTATGTGCAGCGAAGAGACAAGATTAAAGTCTTTTCACAACTGGCCCCTCAATGGCCAGTTGACACCAAAGGAATTAGCTAATGCTGGATTCTATTATACAGGTGTTGGTGATCAAGTGGCATGTTTTTGTTGTGATGGAAAATTGAAAATGTGGGAACCCAATGACAGAGCTTGGTCAGAACACAAGAGGCATTTTCCCAAATGCTTTTTTGTCCTGGGCCGGGATGTTGGAAATGTTCCAAGTGAATCTATTCCTCAATGGCATCTAGTCCTGCTGAGCTTGGGAGAAGTGGTCTGAACAATGCAGAGCATCCAAGGAATCCGTCTATGGCAAAATATGGAAATCGTTTACAAACATTTTTAACTTGGATATATCCGGTTGACAAGGAGCAACTTGCTGAAGCTGGGTTCTATAGCATAGGTAAGCCAGACCTTAAAATGGCTAGTATCTTTTACAAGGAAATTTTATATGAGTGTCTTGTTACGAAAAAATAAGCTTTTTGTTATTCTAATATGGAATGATTTGCCAGAATTTCTTTACACTGTAAACTACTTTTCATAGTTCTTGTGTAAAATGATATACATTATATCAAGTATTTTTAATAGCAAAGTATAAACTTGGTCATAAATTCATTTTTAGCAGTAAAACATCAAAGTGTGTGTTCCTTGCCTGCTAGAACCCTCATAATACATCTTTCACAATGACAATTATTGAAGTTAATACTTTTTAAAAAATGATATCTGTCCTCCAGATATCTACCTTAGGTCTAAGAAGCGGGCTTGTGGCCCGTACAGGAGCCTGTGAACAAGACAATCCAGGTTTTGTGCCATTTTATTTAGTTAACGTGTGTTTGCATTATCATAGCATTCGGACACCTGAAACTAGCAAATACCATTACTGCCTACTGTAAAAGCCTTATGAAGACAGTGACTCAAGTGGAAGAGCTTTTACTCTTAGACATGTAGTGTGGGACTTGGGTAAGACTCCATCATCTTTGTGCATTGGTTTCCCAAGTAGATAGAATTGCACAGTGCCGTTAAAGCCCTTTGAAGTTGTTCACTGAGAGATGATGTACAAAGAGTGCAAAGTGTTGCTATTATTAGGTCATAAAAAAAAGGGGATTATCTGGGATAATTTCTTGCTCTCATCTTAATTGACTTCTCTCTTAGTAGCTCTTGGAAGAACTTTTTAATCTGATTCCATTTGTTTTACTTGTGGCCATAAATAAAACCATTGATATATTCTTGTATGGATGATACATGGGCAATATTTGTACCCAGTGGAACTGCTTTTATTGATTTCTTCTTCGATTCCTAAAAGTACCTAGCTTCTCACAGCCAAGTGAGATCTGTATTGTGGAGGTGCACTAAACGGGCACCAGCTTACCAGACCCGATGGCTGTTCAAGTGACATCTGGGAAAACTGTTTCCTGTGGCCTGAGAATGATTTAGCTCTGTAGGAAAAAATCTATCCATACCTCCTCTCATTTCAATAAACACAGTATCTAAGCAGTTTCTGGCGCAGTCTTTGATTACGGTAGGCATAGTGCTGCAACAGAGAGAATGCAGTTTCTCCTAAGATCTCCTCAGTCGGTTATGCTACTGCTGCATAGAGCCTGTTAGTGGTGAAATGGAGGACCAAAAAGGCACGTAAACATCCTTAATTCTTTGTGGTAGACTACTTCATGGCATGTTTACCAGTGGATTGAGCTATTTGATAATAGATCATTTTTAGCTTTTGCTTTTTATCTGTATAATTACTTGCTAAAATAAAATTCAGGAATATTTCATGTGACTCTTGGTTTGTGTTTTTAAGCTCAAGTCTCTCCTGAACATTTGTTTGCAATCATAGTATTATGTCCTCCTTGAAAATGCAGTTCTTTTTAGTTACAAATGCTAATCAATAAATAAGTATTTTTTCTTATCAATGTAATGTTCAATTTAGTTGAAAACTTCTTGTTATGCCTCCTAGAAGTATGTAACTTTATTCTCGTTTGTTTCCTCAGGTAATGGTGATCATGTCATGTGTTTCCACTGTGGTGGAGGATTGCAAGAATGGAAGGAAAATGAAGACCCATGGGATCAACATGCCAAATGGTTTCCTGGGTAGGGTATTTTTTACCGTTTTCTTGTTGCATGTCAGAGTCTTACTTACAGTATATTACGTTTTAATGACAGAGCATACTAATAAAGGTTTTGGAAGGTTGACTGTGGCTTAACATTGTTTATGAAAATCACTTAATTTTTTTAGTTGCCCTCCTCCACTTCCTTCTCCTTTTTTGTCATGTAGGCAGCAAAGGAATGTCAGTTCATGGTTTATATTTTTCCTTTTCAATAAGTAGAAAAGATTTTAAGGAATTTTTTGCATGGGGTCCTTATTTTTGTTGTTCCATCTGTTCTACCTTCTGTAGTCCTGCTATTACATGTATAATCATCAACATATGCTTTAATGTTATATTGGAAGCCTCAAAAGAGGGCATTAACCTAATGTCTTCTTTGAGAGGCAGGAGGGAGTTCTTCTAAAGTGGGTGAGAAATAGAACTAAATCTCAAGAGGTTGAGGGCACAACTAACTCATTAGAGGTGATCAGTCTGAAAGGTTGCCCTGAAATTGTACTTTCTGAATAAATTTACTTTTAAGTCAGTGCTGTTTTGTATGTCAGCTTGTTTGTCAGAATTACTAAAGGGAAGAGAAGATTTCTGTGTCTGGCCTTAACTGGTGTCTCAGCTAGCAGAATCGTGAAGTTTTGTGAATAATGTAACTGATATTTTTTCCCTCATTATCCAAGCGCTACATTCTAATTGTTGTTTTAATAGCTTCATACATGCCAAAGTTTGTAACTTATGTCAGGATACAAAATGACTAAACTTCCGTCATGGTGCAAACAAACCTAAGGAAGTCAGTAGTGGTATTGAATGAACAAAATTCTGCATGTTAAAGGAGTGAGGATTCCAGACCCAGAATTAGTTTTTAGAAAGACTGCCAATTTTGTCTGAAATCTGTCTTGAGGAAAGGAAGAATAGTGTATGACTCACTGTTTCTTGCAGGTGGATAAAAGCTGTCCAAGTACAAAGACTTAGTTACTTGTATAACATTGATAAAATCAATGTCTTTTATACGTTGGCTGCCAAATTTGTCTTCTGTGGTGAAAGGCTCTCTGGAAGCCTGAAGTTAGTATTTATGCATTAGCTGTTCCTTTTCTCAATAGTGGTACAGGCAGCTTTTAATTATTAGTCTCTGCCACTTGAAAGAGATGCCATTCCAAGTTTTTGGCTTGGTGCAGGGAATGGTTAAGACACATTTTCTTGCTACATTTCACTCCTCCTTATATGAGTTTGATTTGGTTTTAGGTTGCTTAAATTATATCGGCTTCGATTACTTCCTCTCAGATCATTAACTGTCTTACATGGAGTTTTTGTTTGCACATCAGCTTCAGTAGCAGTGTATCAGTCTTGCAGCATGCTGTCTATGTCCATGAACAGGACACTATGAAGGTGAAGTAACTGCTGAAGCTAGAGAACTATTGTCGAGGAGTATGGCATTCCCTAAATACTCTGGTAGGGAAGAGCTCTGCCCAGTGGCTGGTTGGAAAATACTGAAAGAAAGCACATAGGGCACCTGACCAGTGACTGCTTTTCTTTGATTGCACAAGACTAAAAGAACCAACATTTTAACATAATGGTTTGGTTTTCATTGGAGTGTTTACTTTTATAAACTTATGGCATCAGTTGTCATGGCCAACAACTCTTTAGCTTTCCGTTTCACCAAAAATGTGAAAAAGATAAGCACTGCTGAAGTGAATAAGATGTTTTTAGAAATGTTGAAATGACATTGCCGATGTTGACTAAACATTTAGAGATATCAAAAGCAAGCATTCTGCATGATGCAGGAAATTTATTGGAGCTTTCTGAAGTAATGTAGTCAATTTTTGTTTGCTTCTTATGCAGTTTTATTATAACTAAATATTTTCATTTATAGGTGCAGATTTGTGAGAAAGGAAAAGGGGCAAGAATTTATAAATAATGTTCATTTAAGAGATGGATGTAGGGATTCAACGGTAAGTGTCTTGCTTATTAATCAAATATCATTTCGTTAAAAGAAAATAATCTTAACATAATTTTCTTATGAAGTTACTCTTCTAATTATCTGCATATCATTTAGTCATCCTGCTGCTTCTTTCATTGACAAAGTGAAAGACATCGAAGTATGTTTTGGTTCTGTCATTCAGGGTTTATAGATCTCAGTTCTCCTTAGTTGGGTTATGGTCACAGGTAGGGTACCCTGTATACATTGTATATTTGGTACTGAACAAGTGCTATTTTTTTATAGCCTGGGAACCTAAGGTTTACAATGAATAATTTCCTTATTCAAGTGAAGTAGATAATGTTTCTTTTCTTGTTGGTAGAGCATTGTTAAACTTGTATGCAATCACTGAAAAGTAAACCCAATATTATTTTAGAATTCTTCCATAGACTAAGAATCATGTACATATGATTACAGCAAAGATGGGATAAAATGAAAATTTAAAACAATATGAAAGACATAACAAAACACTGATCCCTTTGCAGTTGTTCAGAGCAGGTTTAATAGCTTTAGTCAATAAAATAACTGAGATCAAATAGCTATTTTCTGTCTTGTAACTGTATAGGTTTCCTTCTACCTTCTCTAGAATTGTAACTTTGTCTCTTTATATTTCACTTTTAGACAGAAGCTGCTGAAGGGACAATACTTCCTAAAGGTATCTGTTTTGAAAAAACCCCAAACCAAGCAAGCCCCCCCCCTATTTTGGAATATCCATATTTGCATGTATAGTAAAGGAAATGGTTATTTTTAAAAGTAACCCTATTACATTTTTAAATAAAGCATGACAGGCAAATTGTTGGATGATACTCTTCCATTGCTTCATTGCTTCTAAACAACTACGAATGAATTTTATTTCTCTTAGGGGAAATCAAATCATGGTTGGATAAATATTGTAAAGAAAAATTGTAAACCATGAAAGAAGTACGTATAGGATGCAGTCTTATTTTTATAGCTAGTAAGTATGCATCAAGTATTGAATTAGTAGTGCTGTGGGATGAATGTTAAAGAATACTGAAATGAAACAATCATTGTTGCTTTTCACAAGGCGGGAAGAATTGGCCTGTTAAATGGCAAGGACTAGGAAGTTGAGAAAGCTTAAATAGCTTGTTATGTGTTCCAGTATTACGCATTCCTGCAATGTTTTTCACAAACACCAAACAAGGGAAGGATGGTCAAGCAGCTTCATCCCAGGGAGTGATAGCTCTTGCTAATAAGAGTGGTTACACAAAACCTATTTTAGAAATCTCTCACACACTGCTCATTTATAGGAGTAAAAATTAGGTTAAAACACTTGGCTCTTTGAACAGTCTTGTTAAGTAAAGAAGAAATTAGTCACTTACATGTAACAGAAGAACTGGAAATAAGTTTTTACAACTGGCGAAATTCTCAAATTGGAAATACAGTTCCTTCAGCTAGATATTTGCAAAAATGTCTTAGAGTGCTATTGTGAATACCATCTGATAATCAGATTCATCCTTGTTAAATTGTTTCGGTGTTTTTTTAATTTCTTGTTTTAGATGATCTCTTACAGAATCCTTTGGTACAAAGTGCCATAGACATGGGTTTCAGTTTGTCTGAGATTAGGAACACCATGGAAAAGAAATTGCAGATGTCTGGAGAAAGTCACACATCTGTTGGGGATCTGGTAGCAGACTTAAATGCTCAAAAAGAAAATAGAAGGGAAGAAGAACCAAGTGAAATCCCACTTGAGCAAGATGAGCTTATTCAATTACAAAACCTCTGTGTGTACTTTTGTATCAGCTCTTTAGTCTAGGAAATATATCTTAGTGTTACCTGTTTATACTACCTTCTGATGCAAGTCTTACTCAGGTGAAGTTACAGTACTGTAACTTAAAATTCAAGAGTTTTATTTTTGGACATAAAAAAAAAAGCTGAAGAAAATATTTGAGCGTAGCAGCATTTATAAATATTTGAGGTATTATATACCTCAAATACCTCAGAAGTGTATAATATTGAAATAATAGTCTAGCATGCTTCTGGGAAAGGTTACACATGCTAACTAAAAAGCCAAAATTATTGTGACAATGACATTTAAAAAAAAAGGCAAGAATAACTACAGATGTGGGGACTCTGGTGGCAAAATGAAATAGACACAGCAGCATACTGTCAAATATTCAGTATACTCAAAATGAAAAAATCTTAGTAGGGGACTATTTTTTTTGCAATATAAAATTTTGCATGGGATAGAAGCATTTTTCTTCTTGGCCAATAAGAAAAAGTGTACTTCTAGGTGGTGTTTCTTTTCAATTATTCGTGTTCCAGCTATGCTGGGACATGTGAGTTACGCTCAGAAAGCCACTGTGGTACGTTCTGTAAATAGACCAAAGCCAGGGTTTCTAACTTGGGAGACTTGTAGTTTAATACAAGCATATGGGTGAATTCATATGGAGGGAAGAGACCAACTGGTGGCATGATAGGCAGAGATCTTGCCAGCCCACTCATTTAAATAGGATTTTTATTGGACATTATGGGGGAAAAAGAACTTGCAATGAAGATGGACGTTATTTTTGTGGTTGGCTGTGCAGAGCTTTCCTCAAGTGGCAGGGGAAGGCTTTTGAAGTTTGCATTTTCAAATGGGGCATACTGGAATAATAAAGAGCTAATGTACAATGCAAAATTGATTCCTTCTGTATTACAAATTTTAAAGCTTTTGAAGTATGGGCATTTTGAAAATGGAGGCAGGGAAGGAAATCACATCCTCATTCTTTTCATTGGGGAAACTCTCTGGAAAAAAGAATAAAATCCAAATTACTTAACCAGTATCAACGAGCCTTTCTTTGACCTTCTGTACAAGTTTTGGGAAGGTTGTCAATGGGATGTCTGTGAAAAGAATGGTTCCTGATTGAAATATGCATATTCTAAATTCTATAGATATTTCAAGCTCTTGCAGATACAGATAGCTGAATTCCCTGCTTGCATTGGCCTGGGAGATGTAATGAGATGGGGGTGGGTGGAAGAGGATTCCATGCTGCAGCTTGGTTTCCTAGCTCTCGTATTTTTGTTTTCTTTTTAAAGGTGTGATCTTTAAATCATATGAAGAAAACCTTGTCCTTGTGTGTAAAGAAAAAAAAAGAGATTCAGTGGTACTAAGTACGTTTACATCTTTTTATGTGTTTGTTTTCCTTAGATCTCAGTACTGAAGAGAAGTTAAGACGCTTGCAGGAAGAAAAGCTTTGTAAAATCTGTATGGCTAAAGACATATCAGTTGTCCTCATCCCCTGTGGTCACCTAGTTGCCTGTAAGGAATGTGCTGAAGCACTTAATGAATGCCCTCTGTGTCGTAGAAATATTATGAAAAGACAGGAAATTTTTATGTATTAGTGAAATATACAGCACTGTGGATGCAAATGTTTCCCGCTTTATTGCTTTAAATATGTGTAATGTAATGTAAAAAATGCAGTTAATTCCAGGATGTAATCATATGACAGTATTTAGATTTTTCTGCTGTCAAACACTACATACCTTTTAACATTTTAAATATGTGTAATGTAATGTAAAAAATGCAGTTAATTCCAGGATGTAATCATATGACAGTATTTAGATTTTTCTGCTGTCAAACACTACATACCTTTTAACATTTTAAAAATTATTTTCCTTAAATGAATTTTTTTTAATGTAAAAACCAATATTAAAAGGTAAATGTATATAGCCTGTAACTTCAATTCATAGATCTGATTTGGGAAAGCCTAAGTAATGCAAAGCTTTGTTTATGTGATCATCCCGTTGCTTCACTTTGGGAGGACTCTGTATGACTGAAGTATATGCAAATACAGTTGTATAAAGAGTCTGGCCCAATGTAAAATTTGTAAATTAGTAAGTGAATTTAAAAAATTATTATATACGTGTATATTATGTCTGAGATTTTAGCTTCTCAAAAATGTTATGTAAGATTGAAAATGTTACCTTATTTCTGTAACTTTGGTTGTGACATAATTCAGAGAATATGCGTAAACCTGCTGCTGCAATATTTCACCTTATGTTTGCTACTGTTACTTTGTAAGTCTGTCTGTTTTGATATATAATTCCTGTCTCCCCATTGTTTTTTTTTCCTGGTTTAGATGTATAAATTGGCTTCACTAACCTATTTTTAGCCATCCGTTTTTCACAAAAACCCCTCTGTATATTAAATGTACATTAATTTCATTCCTTGAGAGAACTCAACAGAAATGAAGGAGATTTTATGTACCGTGTGCCCTTCATGAAAGGAGCAGCCTCTTTTTAAGATTGCCGCCTACACAAAAAGGTGCTCATTGTTCGATTTCCACCCCCCTGTGGTTTTTTAACATTTAGCATTATCCTAACTCATTTATCTGCTAATACTTTGCAGTGCTTCTGTTTGTCTATTTTTTCATAAGAGAAGATTAAACACTCTCTCCATGAAAATGCTTTCTTTTTAAATTTTTTTTATAATTCACCAGTAATGTTAGAAATCTTTCATTTTTGTTCTTGTCAGTTTGCAGCATTTAAATTAAAAAGTTAAGAACTGTTCTAGGCAGGGTCACTTTAAAATACTTAATAAACTATTTCTTACTGGACTGATCATCAGTTCTCCAATTAAAAAAAAGTATCATAGCTTTGTATTTAAGTACAGCTGGTTTATGATCACTCTGCTTAATTATGTGACTTCCTTAGTTTGTGGAGCTACTAATATGTTTTGTGTATATATTTTTATGAGTCCTACACACTAATATATTTAGAATATACAGAATATAGTTTTTCACGTGATAAAAGTGATTTTTAAATCAAATACACAGAAATTTAATGTCTACTTTTTCTATTTTTTTAAATGTGCTGTGATTATATGCTGGTGTAATGTTATGAATATTTAAAATAAAAGTGCAACCCAGTTGTTACTTGATCAGCATATTTGATTCTGACATGCAAAAAAAAAAAAATCATAACAGAAGGTTGCTTTCAGTTGCTTTTTTGTTTTGGAACTCAACTGTTACTAATTTAACCTGAGTGTTATTAAGGATAACAAGTATATTTTAATTGGAGAGGAAATAAAATCTATTGTTTGTATAAATTAAAGTGCGTTAATTATAAGATTAAAATACGTTAATTTTGCTATTTTTTGTAATAAATCAGAATTTGGTTCTTAGGAATACATGATGACTAGAAATTCATGAAGAATCTGGCACAGAGAGGTTTTATTTTGCCTTTTTGTGCCTCTGTGAAGAGTTTAGTGTTTCAGATAATTCATGCGTTCGGGGATTTTTCAGGAGAGATATGGACTGGCAAATCTGACAGGCCTGTTTCTAGCTCCCATTTTCACTTACAGGGAGGGTTTTCTGTACTTTTCAAGGGAAATTAAAGGAGGGGAGTTTGCCTATGAGCTGGTGTATCTTGCCTGAAATAGCTTGTTTAGTTAGTGTTGCCAGCCGTGTTATGCTGACTTGCTTAAGCAGATGGTTTGTTACCTAACCTTGACCTAAGTCATGTGAGAGAGACTATCTGGATGAGCTGGATCCAACTTGCAGGCTGGAGGGAGAACTTGGCGTGTGGCTCGGCACAGCCCTGTCTGGGAGAGAGATTGACCAAATTTTACTTAGAACTGTTACAAAACTAAATCCTAGTAAAGAGATGATTTTGGATGTAAGTATGGTATGTAAACTGTCTGAGAAAAGCCTGGAAGTAGGTCACAAATAGTACCTTCTAAACTGAAATGGAGAGCAAACGCATTGCTCAAATAATATGCAAGCAAATAGCATAAATGCTTCATGTTAAAGCTTGTTAACTTCTAAAAGGTATACTGTATCCCTTATTGTAACTTTTTGATAAATGTTAGATACAGCTATAATAGCAGTTTGGATTTTAATCACTTACGAACATTAAAGGGTTAAAAGCCTGTTAGATGACAAAATAACTGCTCTGTAGGTTTAGGTTCTTTTAAAAAACTATAATCAGAGTTCTAGTCAGACTGAATGTGAAAAAATAATTAGCATAGTCATCAAATTTTGACAGCTTGAATTAGGAAGATTTTTTTTCAAATTACTTTGATTTTCAGTATCTCAAAGAAACAGAGAAGAAATTCCATGGACACTAATACTGGGCTGTTAAAACTGAGTGTTTAAAGAGATAGAAAGGAAGGATGCAAATAAAGGGAGTAGAAGCACAGATGCTTTGAAAAGGAGGTGAGTAGCAGGACAAAGATGCCTTGGGAGTTGATTTTTATAAAAGAGTTACCTGGAATGAAGAGCTATGGAACATATTCAAGTATCAGTATTTGGTAACTTTCTTCTAGTAGCTTCTATGTAAAACCTTTCTTCCATTTTACTTGCAACAGCAGAACTATTTGCTGATCTGTATATGTGGGAGATTTACAAGGGTTTTTAATAATGTGTTCTGGAACTGTTTTGTTTAGAAAACATGGAAATTGCGTGCCTAATTTAGGAATAGAAAGCTAAAGTAAGGCAAACCCATAGATCCAGTTTTTGTGTTATGCATTTAGCTTTTTCTCACTGCCTTGAAACACGGGCCTTGAAATACAATACTGACTTACCCTACTGATTGCTGGAGCTTCTATCTCTACAGATACTTAGCTGTCCCTACTTTTAAAATTTGTTTTGGGGCTTGATCCAAAGCTCATAGCACAATAAAAAGATTTTCAATTATTACAGATTTTTTTTTTAAATTAGAGTATTTAAACACTTCTTTTAATATTGCCTGGTTAGTTTTGACCACAGTGCTCCAATGTTTTTGTTAGCTATATGTGCAGCCTGAAGCTACAGGACAAATAGTTTGTCAAAGTTTTCAAAGCATTGTTAACCTAAGACATGGGTTTTTAAAGTTAGTTTTTATGCTTGTTTCTATTGAAATTAACGAAAATGTAAATCCAGTGGGTTGTTAGAATTGAATTATAACTGGGTGGGAGGTTAATGCTGACACTCGATTACTGTGTTCATGTGAAACTTCAAGCTGAAGTGTTGTATACTAGGATTAAACGTTACAAGGGGCGGTGACATTTGGTGCCACAGTATTTAGTAACTACTCGGAAGAGAATCTGTGCTGCCTTTCAAGTCGTGCAAGTTGTAGCATATGAAGTGTAAGGCCTGCCCAAAAGGGAGGTCAGCTCTTCATAGAGTGAAGGAGGAGTTAGAGATTTTTCTGGCTTTTGCAGTATTTTTCTGTGGCAGTAAGTATGCAAACAGCGAGTAGTTACGCGGTGTTCTTTTTTCACCCTCTGCTTTGTGCACGATTGGCTCATATCAGCAAGGAGGCTAGAGGCCAAAGAGCGGGCTAGAGAAGCACTTCCACTGCTGCCCCAGAGCTTTTCACTGCCTGTCTTGTGCAGAACGGAGCGGCTGGATTGGCCTTAGCTCTTGAGCCTGCTTTGCGAAGGGTGATGGTCGTCTTCTCCGTATAGTCAAGTGGGAAGAGCCAGTCTAGTGAGATCACCTTCATTCCCATGGAACTCAAGTATGAGTAAATGCTCTCCCTCTTTCTATTTTTTCATGTCTTTTACATGCGTAAGTTTTAACTGAGCAGCTTGGAAATTTGATCAAGAAAATCTTTCCTCCCCCATGACCCTGCCTTCGCACTGATTCAGGTTATTGACAGCATCTTGCCATCTTTGCGAATGCCACTGTGTTGCATTGCTTCAAGAGATGTACTGATGCTGCTGTACAACAATTAGTGTGCCATAATTATAACGTGGCTTTCTGTGAGGAGGCAAATGACCTGTGATAATAAAGAACCTGTGCTGAACTACAGATTTTATATTTTTCTTTTTAACCAGGAATTCCTATTAAGCAATACTGATGACAATGTTACAGTAAAATTACAAGCATTAATTCAGAGAATATGGCTCTGTGACCAACTTAGCAAAAGAACTTGCTTTTTCCTAGGACAGGAAAGAAGGCAGTATACATTCAATTATAAATAGCTTGGATAAACAAAACCCCAAGGAAGATCTGGGGAAAAAAATGGTATTAACTATATTGTGAGTACGTACTATTTCAAGGCAGGTGAAAACTACTTGGTTGCTTTTGGATAATGATTAATTTACAGTTTTATAGCTGGACAGCTATTGATAATGGCTGAGAGAAAACACTTGATAAGTTAGACTTGCTGGATATGTATTGGAGAGATACTTGAATTAGGGTTTTGCTCTTAGACTGAAAAATGGCGTTTACTATCAAAAAATGAAAACCACTTTTGCAGAGTCCCACTGTGAAAACATCTAGGAGAATCATTACAATAATTGCTGAAAAGCCAAGTTTAGTAGAAACGCATATGGTCACCTGCAGGTTTTGGAGAATGAATTAATCTAACTTCCAGAAATGACGACAGAGAGCATTTAAATTTATTCATGTTATGTC